TTCACTGGTCGTGAGTACTCGCGTCAGCACATTGCGATTCACAAAATCGGGAGAAAAATCTGTAACAAAACCACAGATTTTCTCACGATTCAACGATTTTTCTTCCGTTGTAAAGTTGTTGAAAACTTTTCGCACGCAGAAAACTATAATATGAACAGACGAGAGATCGGACAGCTTCAATTGAACGTTTAAATCGCTAAATGTCGAAGAAGGGACATCGATTTTTTTTCAAAATCGGCCCGACAAATCGCAGCGTGTAAACGTAGCTTTAGCCAATTCATCTAACGCCTCTCTCCTCCGCTGAGGCTTTCGTTTTCTTAGGATATTGATCTCTAACACTAGCCCGCGTGCAGGCTCAGGTCTTCCCAGGGCCTGCACGCGGGCTAATCTAACACATTTTCCGACACCGATTAATGTCACAGCATGTGCCAGTCTGCCAGAATTTCCTTTACTAATACAGTTGTAAGGAATTCGCTAATTTAGGCTTTAGGTAGCCTAGACCTTAGGGGGATCGGGAATATCTTAGTCAAGTCCTACAGTTCTATGATTCGATTATTTTTTTCTACGTGGCACTATTGGCATAAAACGATTAAAACCTAGCGGAAACACAATACAGTAATTTTAATTGCTACGAAATTATTCAAAATTCCAAAATTTCTCCCAAAATCCTGCTGGTTTAAGAATGTCAACAACGCTTTAAAACTGGAATACATATATCTATATTTTACCAACTCTGTTGCACAATAAAACGCGTGGAACTCTAGAAAATGTTCAAAAATGCAAGTATAAACATATTAGTTGCTGTTCGTGGGCTCTAAAATGGAATTTTTGAAACCATTTCTTGTTGAAGTCACGGAAGAATTGCTGTACAACATTGTGTACAATGTCAATGAGGTTCCAATTGATTACGGAACTTTAAGCACCGAATTTAAGAAGAAAACTGGCCATCATCCGATGGAGTTTTTTGGCTTTGGTAATGTAACCGAGCAAGAATGGCCAGAATTCGTCAAAAATGTTCCTGGACTGGAACACTGGGGGGATATGGTATATGTTAACCACAATTTCAATGAAAACGAGGACAAAAGAGCAAGTGTTTACCGCCAAAATAATAATACGTCCAAGACACTTCAGTCATACTATCGGCCCAAGCAAACAACTGTCGCAGCGTATCGAGAGGAATTTCTAATTCTGTCCTGCAAGATGATTGAACGTAATTTTGCTAACTTGGGTGAATATTGCCAGGACGACAGGGACAATACCCCTCTCCATTATGTCGCAGCGTTACCCGGTCATTATCTTCAGAACGTAAGCCAATTTTCCGTTACGTTGCCGTTGGTGAAAAATTTGTTGCGAATCGGTATTAATCCTCTGATAGTAAACGACACTAGCCAAAATTTCCTTCACACAATTACTTGTGCATTTGAAGAGGAAGAGGAGACGGTTCTCGATTGGTTCGGGTACGACGAGAACGTCTATTCCTATTATGCAAGTGAACCGTTCTCCGATTACTTCACTAACGGTAACCCTACATATTTTCATCAATATGTTCAGGAAAGAAAGGCCGTCATAAATCTGATTTCGACCGAATTAACGCCGGAACAACAAACGTTGTTAGTGAATGCACAAGATTGCTGGGGCAATACCGTGATGCATGAATGGGCAAAGATAATATCTATACTGTGTGTTGACGATTATGATCCATTCGCCGGGAAAATTTTTTTGGAGAAGTTAGTTAATGAACTTGGTGCAGGTCTACGACTTCAAAACGACAAAGAGGAGGTGGCACTTCATCATGCTTTTCATCCCACCATATTTCGAACTCTTCTTGAAATCAAAGAAGATTCGTGGGATGATAATAAGCCATTATGTCGAACAAGAAATTGTCACGACAAAACAGCCGTTTTTTCTATGTTGAAACGTTTGGTCGAATTTGCATTTGTTGGTACATCTGTCTTTAAGGAACTCTCAGATCTGTGTTTTCTCGGGATCAGACAAAATGAATCGGTCACTGTCAGTATCGAAAAAGCTATAACAATGCTGCAAGAATTTACATACTTAGTCGCTAAAAAGCAAGAAGTCCGGAAAACACTTTGGATTTCAGATGAGAAAGGCAACTGCATTGTTGATATAATATTAATTGCCATTCGACTTGGATCCTGCCTGCATTTGGAACAGAGTACCGTAGTTTTGGACTACATTGAGCTGCGAAAATGCCTGGTTAAATTGTTGAGTCAAATCTTACAACATGGGAACGCCAATGACATGAAACGACGAAACGGCAAAGGACAGAGTGCTCTACATGTACTTCTCGATATGGGCGAAGGAAATATGAACACAGTTTTTAACGATGATCATATACTTCAAAGCGTGGAAATACTTCTCAAGCACAACGCGGACGTGAACGCAGTTGATTTAGAGGGGCGCACTCCTCTCGATGTTAGCTACAAGTATTACGACAGAAGGCCTTCCCTTTATATGAAATGCGCCGAATTGCTAATCCACCATGAAGTCCATGTTGTTCCGCCGGGGATCAACGCTTCTTCTCCTGCCACAAGTCGACTATCCCAAAGTTCATCCGTCCAGCCAAGTTTATTGCAAGGTATAACCAGCTTGAGTCTTAATGAAAGACGAAAACTACGCGGATCATGTCCCAAGAGTCATTTAAACAAAGCGAACAGATTAATTGATATAAACAGCGAAGTGACTGTCGTAGGAAGATATCGTTATTCCAGTCAAGATCCAATTGGTTCTGGGGCATTCAGCTCAATCTTTGTCGCCGTTAAAGATGAAAACGTGGACAGCGAATCTGGTACGATTAACTGTCGTGCTTACGCCTTGAAGCGAATGGAGAAAGCAAAGATGAATGCAAACGAATTCAGACGTGAAATCAGTACTTTGCTTTCTATTTCTGGACAGTGTGAGAATATCATTAAGTATTACGAATCTGTTGAAGACGATTTCTTCCATTACCTCTCTCTCGACCTGATGGACGGTGATATGCACGAGTTTGTCAGAAACGACTATGCCAATAAAGTTTTGAAGGATCCAGTTTTACGTGTGCAAGTTACAAAAGAAATCATTAATGGTTTAGCATTCGTTCACGAGCAGAAGTTTATTCATCGCGATCTGAAACCTGGAAACATCCTGTATACAACAGATCCCGCTTTGCATTTCAAGATCGCCGACTTTGGACTGACAAAGAACATGTCCACTTCATCAACGATGATTTCATCCAGGGGGAGTGGTGTTGGCATGGCACCAGGTACGCGATGTTGGATGGCGCCAGAGCTGATCAGTATGAAATCAAGAGAGCATACCCTACAGTCAGATGTGTTTTCTTTGGGACTGGTACTCCACTATCTTCTCACTCTGGGGAAACATCCATTTGCAACAGAAAGTGAAGAACCAGCTCACGTTATCGAGAGAAGGATCGTCGACATGCAGATTCAGCTCGACCGAGCTCTTAATCCCGAAGCCACTAATTTCCTTCAGTATCTTCTTAACCAAGATCCTTCCAAGCGTCCGCCAGCGAAAGTCCTCCTCCACCATCCTTTTCTTTGGAGCGAGAAAAAAAAGATCGAATTTCTTAAAGCAGTTGGTGACCAACCAGAAGCTGCCGTTCCAACCAATTATCGCAACTACCCATTGGAACAACGTTTGCAGACAACAAGCATTGGCCGGAATGGTTCCGCTTGGAACCTTCGAATGAATGCTTTGTTTGCAGAAATTACCACAGCTTGGAAACAAAAGAAGTATAGAACTAATAAAGTAATCGATTTGCTAAGATTCATCAGAAATGCATATGTTCACAAGCAAGAGAGATCGTTAAAATTACAAGAAGATCTTGACAATAATATTTTCCTACAGTTATACCCTTCTCTTGTTCTTGATGTCTTTTATGTGGTACAGGATCTTGATTTCCTTAACGATCCAAACCGTAACAACATTCAACAAGCTGTAACTGCAAATGTATAATCAGCAGAATAGGCGACTCTTGCATTAGGAGTGTCCCATTAAATATCCCGGGAGGGGCTGGACAGATTCCAAAAACAAATTCATGTAGAGTGGAATTTAAAAAAACTCCTGCAACTACGGTCATAAAATATACAGAAAATTGTTTTAAAAAATGCATGCAGTTTCTACACCGTAAAAATGTTCGAAACGATCCGAACTTAAAAAACTTTTTGCAAGGAAAATTTCAACCTCCTACCCAGGGTCTTATCTCGGCTAGACAGTCCACTCCCCATATCTACAGTATAATGGTCCACCCCTTAGTATGAAAGTTATTTTCTGTGCACTTACTTGAGTATTTTATTCAAATTAACAATGAATTTCCGGTGTCTTAAGACCGCAGGCTTATTTTTAAAAGGGTTTGTATGGAAAAATAACCTGAAAATGTAGGTGTATTCCGAAATCTATTCTATTACAAATCTAAATCGCAAGTCTGTGGTCTGATTGAAACACACAGTCGTTGGAAATACATTATAATAAGCCTTACACGTTCCAGTAATCCAAGATTTAACGACGCATTTTACCATTACCAGAGAATTCTGGTCCCCCAGTTGGCATTAAAGTTATACATATACACTACAGACTAGCTGTAGTAAATAGTGATATAATAGGCACGTTTTACGTATCGTAAAAGATCAAAGACAGATTACAATGGAATATTCAGTCTTAGTAACAACCTTTACATCGAACAGTAGAACTATAAAACGGAGATCGTAGATTTTAGAATGCCATTTTGTGTAATTGCATACGTAATTGTATACATAAAAGATTCAATGTAGTTTAAGACTGAATAAAAGTCAACTGTATTTTATGAAACAATCGTTTAGTGAGAGGGGAGAAGGTACAAGAACATTAGGGTAACTTTCGGACAGGCAAGTACGACTATGAACCAATGAGCATTTGTTTTTTAAGGTTTCAAAATGGTCAAATGAAGTTTCGCAGTTCCCCCGCGAATTCCGCCATATTACCACGCAATGATTTTTTACGCACTTCGTGAAAGCGGTTTAACGCCATGTTTATTAATTCGCTATGAATACATAACTAAAAGACAAAAAATGTAACTAAGACTCTATGTGGATTAAAATCAGTGGTATATGGGCTGTCTGTGATATAGGTGTAGTAAAAATACGAGGGATCTTGTCAGTCTTCAACTGCTGTTCTTCGAACCACTCTATTTACACTTTTCAAAACTGGAAAGCTTAGAACTTCTTGCCAGAGTACTCACGAACGCTAAAAATAAACAATACAGTATTAGAACCTGTTCATGAACCGATTTATAATATAGTAGTATTTGTATTGAACGCGTCGTGTGGTTGCGGAGTAATGGACAGGGGAGGATCTACCGGTGGGGTGCAGAGATGTACGCACCCCCCCCCCCCCAGTGGTGTTCAGCACCTCCTTGCAGGAAACTCTGGTATTCTATAATCATGTTTGAGTTGTGTATACTACTCATTATATTGAAACGATTGATTTTCGAGTTTCCGCGAGAAAATAGTCAAGCACCAATACGGCGGGTCACCATATAACGTGGCACTTTTCTTAATCATTATACAGAACGTGGTAAAAACGAAATCAGTTGAGGGGTGTTGTATCCACTGAACTGGGGGAGGGAGGTTAGCGTTCTGCACAAACGTACGGACCGGATTCTCTGCCGAGGATCATGCACTTGATTAGCCAATCACATATCAGTCAGTGTATACAGCTATTTCAATTTTAAGGTTGTCCACGAGCAAAGCGGAAAAGTCGAATACGAGCGCGAAAGGCTGCTGGAATCGCTAAAATATTAATGAATTTATTAGCGATTCCCAGCAGCCTTTCGCGCTCGCATTCGACTTTTCCGCTTTGCTCGGGGACAACCTTTATAATAGATATTTCCCCTTATGAGTGAAATTTTGATCTAGATATGCCTGGACAAAAATTTCATCACAGCTTGAAAGAGCATCATAAAATTAGTAATATTCCGAAGTTTCGCTGCGAAATGTTGTAAAATTCGGATAATATAGCCTTGCGAAGTTTGCCGTTTTTCAGTCATTTTGTATTACAAATGGGAAATTGGTAATCAGTTTCCATTTGTAATGCAAAATGACTGAAAAACGGCAAACTTCGCAAGGCTATATTATCCGCATTTTACAACATTTCGCAAACGAAACGTCGGAACATTACTAATTTTGTGATGCTCTTTCAAGCTGTGATGAAATTTTTGTCCAGACTTGTCTAGATCAAAATTTCACTCATAAGGAGAAAGGTCTATTGAAATAGCTGTATATCAAAGTTAAAAATTGTTAGATGCGAAACCAGGGTTCATATTACTGTAAGAGTTTCAAACGTTCACTGGCTGCAGTCTTCGACGACGTAGAGAACACGAAAGAAACGTGGAGAAATATATAAAAGTGGCTCAAACATCGCGAACCATGCGTGGAAAAACGATCATAGAATTGAAAAATAATTGACTGTTCCGCCTACGTATAGGATTAACGTCTATTAAATGTGGATTAACTGACTCGTTTACACTGAAGAGAATTTAAAGTTTTTAGATTTGAGCAAAAAGCGGTATTGACTATTGTTCTGGCAAATGTTTTGAGTTGTTATCAGAGTTTTCAATGCATACAGTGTGCCAATATATATTCTAATGTCGATCTGTGTCGATAGTTGCCTTTCAGCCTTTGTCAAATGTCAATAATTGTCTGTTGTGGCAGTATATGGTAATTGTAAATTCTGGCACTGTAAATATTACTCATTCGCTTTTAATCACAGACTGCAGACTGGCAGTCGAAAGCTCGTCCAAATAAATTTAACCAGTGAACATATGAAACCGTTAATATCAAAGTTTGTCGGAATTTTTATGGAAAACTGCAAGGAGTATATAATTGACATTAATCTAACACATTTTCCGACACCGATTAATTTCACAGCATGTGTCAGTTCTGCCAGAATTTTCTTGATTTTGCTTGCCCACGCGTTTTGTATGCCAATCAATTTATGGCTGTATAGTTGTAAGAATTAAATTCGCTAATTTCGGCTTTACTTTAGGTTGCCTAGACTTTGGGGGGATCGGAAATATCTTAGCCAAGTCTTGACTTGGCCTATTGGCAGAAAACCTAGCGGAAACACAATACAGTGATTCTCCTACGAAATTATTTAAAATTCCAAAATTTCTCCCAAAATCCTGCTGGCTTAAGAAATGTCAACAATGCTTTAATTAAAACTGGAAAATATTATATTATATCTATATTTTGCCAACTCTGTTCAGTCTGTTGCACAATAAAACGTATGCGGGAACTCTAGCAAATGTTCAAAAACGCAAGTATATTAGTTACTGTTCGTGTGTTTCAAAATGGAATTTTTGAAACCATTTCTTGTTGAAGTCACAGAAGAATTACTGTACAACATTGTGTACAATGTCAGCGAGGTTCCAGTTGATTACGGAACTTTAAGCACCGAATTTAAGAAGAAAACTGGCCATCATCCGATGGAGTTTTTTGGCTTTGGTAATGTAACCGAGCAAGAATGGCCAGATTTCATCAAAAATATTCCTGGACTGACAGAATACAGGGGTGATAGGGTATGTATTAACGACAATATCAATGAAAACGAAGATAAAAGAGCGAGTGTTTACCGCCAAAATAACAATACGTCCACGAAATTTGGGTCATGCTTTGGACAAAGGCAACAACTGTTAACTGTCGCAGCATATCGAGAGGAATTTCTAATTCTGTCCTGCAAGATGATTGGCCCACATTATTTTGCTAACTTGGGTGGATATTGCCAGGACAACAAGGGCAATACCCCTCTCCATTTTGTCGCAGCGTTACCTGGTCATTATCTTCAGAACGTAAGCCAATTTTCCGTTACGTTGCCGTTGGTGAAAAATTTGTTGCGAATTGGTATTAATCCTCTGACATTAAACTGCACTAGCCAAAATTTCCTTCACACAATTACTTGTGCATTTGAAGAGGAAGAGGAGACGTTTTACGTGGGAGACGACGAAGAGTACCCCTCTTTCGTTTATGCAAGTGAACCTTTCTCCCATTACTTCACTAACGGTAACGCTACCTATTTTCATCAATATGTTCGGGAAAGAATTGCCGTCATAGATCTGCTTTCGACCGAATTAACGCCGGAACAACAAACGTTGTTAGTGAATGCACAAGATTGCTGGGGCAATACCGTGATGCATGAATGGGCAAAGATAATATCTATGCTGTGTGTTGACGATTATGATCCATTCGACAGGAAAAATATATTGGAGAAGTTAGTTAATGAACTTGGTGCAGGTCTACGACTTCAAAACGACAAAGAGGAGGTGGCACTTCATCATGCTTTTCATCCCACCATATTTCGAACTCTTCTTGAAATCAAAGGATGGATGAATAAGCCATTATGTCGAACAAGAAATTCTCACGACGAAACAACGGTTTTTTCTATGTTGAAACGTTTGGTCGGATTTGCATTTGTTGGTACATCTGTCTTTAAGGAACTCTCAGATCTGTGTTTTCTCGGGATCAAACACAATGAATCGGTCACTGTCAGTATCGAAAAAGCTATAACAATGCTGCAAGAATTTACATACTTAGTCGCTAAAAAGCAAGAAGTCCGGAAAACACTTTGGATTTCAGATGAGAAAGGCAACTGCATTGTTGATATAATATTAATTGCCATTCGACTTGGATCCTACCATTTGGAACAGAGTACCGTAGTTTTGGACTACATTGAGCTGCGAAAATGCCTGGTTGAATTGTTGAGTCAAATCTTACAACATGGGAACGCCAATGACATGAAACAACGAAACAGCAAAGGTCAAAGTGCTCTACATGTACTTCTCGACATGGGAGAAGGAAATATAAACACCGTTATTAACGATGATCATATACTTCAAAGCGTAGAAATACTTCTCAAGCACAACGCGGACGTGAACGCAGTTGATTCAGAGGGACGTACTCCTCTCGATGTTAGCTACAAGTACTACGACAGAAGGCCTTCCCTTTATATGAAATGCGCCGAATTGCTAATCCACCATGAAGTCCATGTTGTTCCGCCGGGGATCAACGCTTCTTCTCCTGCCACAAGTCGACTATCCCAAAGTTCATCCGTCCAGCCAAGTTTACTGCAAGGTATAACCAGCTTGAGTCTTAATGAAAGACGAAAACTACGCGGATCATGTCCCAAGAGTCATTTAAACAACGCGAACAGATTAATTGATATAAACAGCGAAGTGACTGTCGTAGGAAGATATCGTTATTCCAGTCAAGATCCAATTGGTTCTGGGGCATTCAGCTCAATCTTTGTCGCCGTTAAAGATGAAAACGAGGACAACAAATCTGGTACGATTAACTGTCGTGCTTACGCCTTGAAGCGAATGGAGAAAGCAAAGATGAATGCAAACGAGTTCAGACGTGAAATCAGTACTTTGCTTTCTATTTCTGGACAGTGTGAGAATATCATTAAGTATTACGAATCTGTTGAAGACGATTTCTTCCATTACCTCTCTCTCGACCTGATGGACGGTGATATGCACGAGTTTGTCAGAAACGACTATGCCAATAAAGTTTTGAAGGATCCAGTTTTACGTGTGCAAGTTACAAAAGAAATCATTAATGGTTTAGCATTCGTTCACGAGCAGAAGTTTATTCATCGCGATCTGAAACTTGGAAACATCCTGTATACAACAGATCCCGCTTTGCATTTCAAGATCGCCGACTTTGGGCTGACCAAGAACATGTCCACTTCATCAAAGATGATTTCATCCAGGGGGAGTGGTGTTGCCATGGCACCAGGTACGCGATGTTGGATGGCGCCAGAGCTGATCAGTATGGAATCAAGAGAGCATACCCTACAGTCAGATATCTTTTCCTTGGGACTGGTCCTCCATTATCTTCTCACTCTGGGCAAACATCCATTCAATGCAACAGAAAGTGAAGAACCAGCTCACGTTATTGAACAAAGAATCGTACAGACACAGGTTACACTCGCATTTTATCCCGAAGCCGCTAGTTTTTTTCAGATGCTTTTGAGCAAAGATCCTTTAAAGCGTCCGCCAGTGAACGTCCTCCACCAGCATCCTTTCTTTTGGAACGAGAGAAAAAAGATCGAGTTTCTTACAGCGGTTGGTAACCAACCAGAAGCTGCCAGTCCAACCAAACACCCCAACTCGCAATTGGAGCAACGTTTGCAGGTGACGAACATTGGCCGGAAGGTGCAGCCAGTGCAAGGGGGTTCCGCTTGGAACCTTGTAAACCTTCAAATGGATGCTTTGTTTGCAGAAAGTCGGAGACAAAAGTATAGAACTGATAAAGTAATCGACTTGCTACGATTTATCAGAAATGCATACGCCCACAAGCAAGAAAGATCGCCAGTGGCACAAGGGTACCTGGACAGAAATATTTTCCTACAGACATACCCTTCACTTGTTTTGGATGTGTTCAGTGTGGTACAAGATCTTGGTTTCCTTAACGATCCAAACCGTAAGAACATTCAACAAGCTCTAACTGCAAATGTATAATCAGTAGAACAGGCGACTATGGCATTAGGAGTGGACCGGTCCAGTAGATATCTTGGGAGGGGGTGGATAGATTCCAAAAACAAATTGATGCACAGTGAAATAAAAAAAACTCCTGCAACTACGGTCACAGAATATACAGAAAATTCATGTTTCTACACCGTAAAAATTAAAAAACTTTTTGCAAGGAAAATTTCAACCTCTTACAGAGGGTCTTATTTCGGCTAGAAAGTCCACCCTGGGAGATCTACAGTATAATGGTCCACCCCTTAGTATGAAAGTTTTTCTCTGTGCACTTATATATATACTCAAGTATTTTATCCAAATTAAAAATGAATTTCCGGTGTCTTAAAACCGCAGGCTTATGATATTTTTAAAAGATTTGTATGGAACAATAACCTGAAAATGTAGTTGTATTCCGAAGTCTTTTCTATAACAAATCTAAATCGTAAGTCTGTGGTCTGATTGAAACACACAGCCATTGGAAATACATTATAATAAGCCTTAGAGGTTAGGTAGTCCAAGATTAACGACGCATTGTTTCCGGAAAATTCTGGTTTACCAGTTGGCAGTAAAGTTATGCCTACATTACAGACTGTAGTAAATGTTATATAAATAGACACGTTTTACGAATCGTAAAAATCAAAGACAGATTACAATGGCTATTTAGTCTTATAGTAACAACCTTTACGTCGAACAGTATAACTATAAAAGGAGATCGTAGATTTTAGAATGACCTTTTGTGTAATTGCATACGTAATTGTACACATAAAAAAATTCAATGTAGTAGACTGAATAAAAGTCAAGTAGATACTAGTATTTTATGAAACAATCGTTTAGTGAGAGGGGAGAAGGTACAAGAAAATTAGGGTAACTTTCGAACAGGCAAAAGTGCGCCTATCACCCAATGAGCATTTGTTTTTTAAGGTTTCAAAATGATCAAAAGGAACTTCGTTTTCCCCGCGGATTCCGCCATATTACCACGCAATGATTTTTTACGCCAGGTTTAATATAATTCGCTATGAATACATAACTAAAAGACAAAAAATGTAACTAAGACTCTATGTGGATTAAAATCAGTGGTATATGGGCTGTCTGTGATATAGGTGTAGTAAAAATACGAGGGATCTTGTCAGTCTTCAACTGCTGTTTCAGCTGTTCTTCGAACCACTCTATTTACACTTTTCAAAACTGGAAAAGCTTAGAACTTCTTGCCAGAGTACTCACGAACGCTGAAAATAAACAATGCAGTATTAGAACCTGTTCATGAACCGATTTATAATATAGTATAAGTATTGAACGGCATAGTTGGAAAATCTAAAGTGTATTTTTCACTGAAAAGGTTTATGTAAATGCTGTTTAAAGTCCAACTAACTAACTATAGTCACAATGCCTTGAAAGTAAGGGAAATATTGATTCGTTCGCATGAACTAGACTTGCATTTGGTTCAAATACAAAAAAAGTATTTAGTAATTAATTTTGCTTAAGTGCAGGTCAAGCGAGAATGAGAGTGCGTCGTGTGGTTGCGGAGTAATGGACAGGGGAGGATCTACCGGTGGAGTACAGAGGTGTACGCACCCCCCCCCCCCCAGTGGTGTCCAGCACCTCCTTGCAGAAAACTCAGGTATTCCATAATCCATAGTTGAGTTGTGTATACTACTATTATATTGAAACGATTGATTTTCGAGTTTACGAGAGAAAATAGTCAAGCACCAATACGGCGGGTCACCATAGAACGTGGCACTTTTCTTAATCATTATACTGAACGTGATAAAAACGAAATCAGTTGAGGGGTGTTGTATCCACTGAACTGTTGGAGGGAGGTTAGCGTTCTGCACAGGCGTACGGACCCGATTCTCTGCCGAGGATCATGCACTTGATTAGCCAATCACATATACTGTATACCAAATCAGTGTATACAGCTATTTCAATTTTAAGGTTGTCCACGAGCAAAGCGGAAAAGTCGAATACGAGCGCGAAAGGCTGCTGGGAATCGCTAAAAAATTAATGAATTTATTAGCGCTAGCGATTCTCAGCAGCCTTTCGCGCTCGCATTCGACTTTTCCGCTTTGCTCGGGGACAACCTTTATAATAGATATTTCCCCTTATGAGTGAAATTTTGATCTAGATATGCCTGAACAAAAATTTCATCACAGCTTGAAAGAGCATCACAAAATTAGTAATATTCCGAAGTTTCGCTGCGAAATGTTGTAAAATTCGGATAATATAGCCTTGCGAAGTTTGCCGTTTTTCAGTCATTTTGTATTACAAATGGGAAATTGGTAATCAGTTTCCCATTTGTAATGCAAAATGACTGAAAAACGGCAAACTTCGCAAGGCTATATTATCCGCATTTTACAACATTTCGCAAACGAAACGTCGGAACATTACTAACTTTGTGATGCTCTTTCAAGCTGTGATGAAATTTTTGTCCAGACTTGTCTAGATCAAAATTTCACTCATAAGGGGAAAGGTCTATTGAAATAGCTGTATATCAAAGTTAAAAAATGTTAGATGCGAAACCAGGGTTCATATTACTGTAAGAGTTTCAAACGTTCACTGGCTGCAGTCTTCGACTACGACGTAGAGAACACGAAAGAAACGTGGAGAAATATGTAAAAGTGGCTCAAACATCGCGAACCATGCGTGGAAAAACGATCATAGAATTGAAAAATAATTGACTGTTCCGCCTACGTATAGGATTAACCCTCTCTCCTGCGCAGAGGCTTTAGTTTTCTTAGGATTTAATATTACGATGAGATACATTTCACTACACTTTACATGGCGGATCTTGGAACACGAGCGTAGCCGCTGGGCGAAGGGATTAACCTCTATTAAATGTGGATTAACTGACTCGTTTACACTGAAGAGAATTTAAAGTTTTTAGATTTGAGCAAAAAGCGGTATTGACTATTGTTCTGGCAAATGTTTTGAGTTGTTATCAGAGTTTTCAATGCATGCAGTGTGCCAATATATCGATTCTAATGTCAATCTGTCAGTCGATAGTTGCCTTTCAGCCTTTGTCAAATGTCAATAATAAGTCTGTTGTGGCAGTATATGGTAATTGTAAATTCTGGCACTGTAAATATTACTCATTCACTTTTAATCACAGAGTGCAGACTGGCAGTCGAAAGCTCGTCCAAATAAATTTAACCAGTGAACATATGAAACCGTTAATATCAAAGTTTGTCGGAATTTTTATGGAAAACTGCAAGGAGTATATATATATAATTGACATTAATCTCAACACATTTTCCGACACCGATTAATTTCACAGCATGTGTCAGTTCTGCCAGAATTTTCTTGATCTCCTCCTTTTTGCTTGCCCACGCGTTTTGTATGCCAATCAATTTATGGCTGTATAGTTGTAAGAATTAAAATTCGCTAATTTCGGCTTTACTTTAGGTTGCCTAGACTTTGGGGGGATCGGAAATATCTTAGCCAAGTCTTGACCTGGCCTATTGCCTATTGAGTATTGGCAGAAAACCAGTAGCGGAAACACAGTACAATGATTTTCCTACGAAATTATTTAAAATTCCAAAATTTCTCCCAAAATCCTGCTGGCTTAAGAAATGTCAACAACGCTTTAATTAAAACTGGAAAATATATATATTATATTTAACAAATATAAAACATTTTCCGTGTTGATATACAGTTATATCAACACGAGTGGAAATTGGGAAAACGAGAAATTGTGTGGAAACACGACGCCCGAAGGGCGGAGTGTTTTCACACAATTTCGAGTTTTCACAATTTCCACGAGTGTTGATATAACTATATATCAATACAGAAAAATGTTTTATATTTGTTTTATAATATAGCA